TTGCAATGCCAGAAAACGTATTGATAGCTAACTACATTTTCCATTGTTCGTTTTGATCTAACAGTCAGCAGCAGTAGTCTGCATTTCATTTATGTCTATGTATAATAAATCCTTTTTTTATCCAATTATTGTGTATATAGTGTATTTTCTGCATATCTATAGAATGATATTTATTATTTAAAAATTATATAAATTTATCAGTAGCATAAAAGATATATCTACATATAGAAATAAGTGCGACCTATAGAACATTTATTTTATTATTTGTAATCCATTTATTTATCTCAACGACCAAAGCAAAACTGTAGTTACTGAGTCCACAAGAACAAACATCCGCCTACTTCTTGTATAACTTTAAAGACGTATAGCGATACGTTAATTGGATGTTATCACCGTAATACTTGGTCGCTTCACTCCCGAGCTATTTCTGTATTGATTCTCTGGACATTGCTGTGACTTGCGCAGTGTGTTCAATGTCGTGCTACGCATGCTTCGTGTTGGCTTCGCTTGATTACGAAAGTAGGTATATTTTTGTGTGACGTGAAGCTGTCTTATCTACCACAGTTTTTATATAGCGCAGTAAGCGCAGTTGGCCAGGAGGCGCAGTATTGCTCCAACGCTCAGTGCGGTGGATACCTACATAGGTTGCTTTTTGAAGAACTTGTGGATTTGGTGCCTTATTTTATTAGAATGTATTGTGTACGATAACTATACAGAGAACAGAAATAATAAATTCTGTTATTTAGTGGTGGTTCGCAGTTGCTGATTTAATGTTTTTCTCAATTATTTAAATAGGATTGTGGTTTCTAAGGACCTTTAATTTCTAACCTCCTTTCTAAGGAAAGGCCTATGTCCAGCAGTGGACTATTAAAGACTGTTGATGATAACAGATTTATTTTGTCTTAATTATTCGTGTTTTAACTATTTCAAGGACAACGAGTTTAAGGTTACTCACTCTTGAGCATTTACAACGGTAGTGATTCCTAATGAATTATTTTATTTTTAGTAATAATCAGATCATGTGTAGAGCAGGTACACCTAGTAATCCTTGATTACTGTACCTACACAAGTGAATGAAAAGAACTTAAAAATAGTTCGGTTCTTTTTTTAGTTCAATCAGATATTGGATATTATAATCAATTTATCAAAACCTAGAGAATATTGACCTAGTTTATATTTATATAGGTCACCTCATGGTGAGTAACTATCGCCGCACATGACACCTGCAACTCAAGAGAAGTGCGTTAATAGTTAGAAGAGGGGAAGGGGTTTTGGTCTTCCGGTAACTCACTTGGTAAAAAGCAACGGAAGAAATGCTTAGCACCGGTTTTCTGTGGCCGGGGTCATTCCGATTGAGCCAGCACCTATGGCGCAGCCTAGCGATAGCCACACAGTAAATTAGTAATTCTTTGATTAGACCTAGCTACCACTGATTGCACGGATTGTGTAGTGGTTTAAGACCTACTACCCGAGTGTCGTGGGTTTGATCCCCACATGGTGTTGCCCCTGTGTGATCCACAAATTGTTGTTCTGAGTCTGAGTGTTCTTTGTGTCCGTTTCATGTATGTTTGTTTAGTTCCCCCGCAACACAGGATACATTCCTAATGGGGGAGTTGCCCATTTCTTATATAATAAATAACAAAATACTAGATTTACTGTTAAATAGCGAAACCTACGTACGAAAAAATCAGATTATAAATCACAGTTCACTGTGATTTTGTCCAATCTATAATTGAAATAGCATTTTCCGCAAAAACTATTGGTCCGTCTACAGATCACATTATCCATCTTTTGCCCAAGTTCTTAGGTAAGAAATAAGATACTACTGGATGGTTGTATTTGTCACCACTGAAGTTTTAACAACTAAGTATTTGTAATGTTTAACAAATAAAGAATGATTGAAAACAACTTACTTTCACTTGCAGTCCCAGTATATGTATAATTATATTGTTCAAAAACTGCACCGATTGGCTCAAATTTTGATACGATAATAATATACTAACCGCCAAAGGATTGTTTTGTTCATTTCTCATCAATGCAACACAATGTGCTACAGCGAAGCGCGGTAGGGTACAGCTATATAATAAAAATGTAACTATAAGATAGATAAGTCAGTAGGTAGAATTTTGTTTATATAGTGTACCCAGAATCTGAACATCTTCACAATGTTCAAGGAGTTCAACAATTGAAATGAGCTTTATGGCATTGACTGTGGCTATGGTTAAGAAATAAACATATTAAAAAAAAAACTTGTAATAGTAAGATACTAAAACTCGCCTCCATTAATTATTTACTATCAAAAAATACGAAATTAGTTAAAATATTTGGATTACATGGGGTAAGAATTTCTGAATATTTTTCAACGATTTTAAAAATAATAATTATAATAACCTCATCTTACACACGGCCGTCTGATCCCAAACTGGGCAGAGCCTGTATTATGGTAACCAAACTGCTGATAAATTTTAAATAAACAATTCTTAATACACACATATTATAGATAAATTACACCCATTAATATAACGGGATCTATGGATTAACAGTGTTACAGCATTAAATAGAACACTACCGCTGTCATTGCTGTGGTATCGTCAAGATTGTGTTAAACAATACTTACCAGTTTCATAACAGGACAGACAATGAAACACCTGTTGTGTATGTCGGGAATAATGTTCATCCTTCGGTTTTATTGATATTACACATGGTTCTACCAACAACTTATAAAAATCAAAAGGTTCTTCCCTACAGGTTCACTAGCCATAAAATAAAACGATCACAAAAACTTTCAATTTTTTTCTTTAATCAATAATTTAAAGCTTACAGACATTCCTCGTGTTGTTACAAGTAAGCGTCGCCGCCGCACAGTGCGGCTCACAATCCGTTTAACTGAAATTTCGCCACTAAACCACAACTTGGTACGTTGGACACCTCGAGCGGCGCATCTCATACACAACTCGAGGGTCGATATCTCACAAATAAAAACCAATTCATGATTAGAGTATTAGACTTTCAAATCCGTCTCAAAATGTCATCAAAATGCTTGAAACCTGCGCTATTCGACCAGTGTGATTAGTTCAGTTGGACGAAGTAACTTGAACTAGAATATTTCATAGATAACAGAGTGAATATAGATTTATTTCTTTATTTATGACACACATTACAAAATAAAACTTCTAATCTATCTAACATTTTATGTGTAAACTTTGTCATTTTGTCCGTTCTGAACATACTGGGCTGGTCTACGTTATCTAAGTTTTAATAGGATTAAAAGGCATAGGCGTTATATATGTGGTATAATTGCTTGAGTTTCGAACAAAGACATTGACACGTTCTGGACGGTAATACTCTATATTTGTCGTAAGGAAGTACACAGCCTAATGGGATAATGTATCGAATATCGAAGCTGTGTAGGTACGTTCCTACAGCTCTATTCAAAATTATAATTGACATGCAACTAGCTCAGGTCTCAATGATGAAAAAAGAATCGCTAAAATCACGCGCGAATCGTAAAATTCATAAAAAAATATATTTAAGAATTTTCAACACAAATGTCCACATAGTCACTACACTTGTGCCAAATTCCAAAACCGTATTAAAAAATGAAATCGCGATTCGAAACTAAAACGGTGGCCTAGTATATTCCCACTGTCTCTGTGAGCAGACAACAGGACATTAGACATATTTATATTATTTATCAACGAAAATCCTTCTCACGTAAACGACGTAGTAACAAAAATGCTTACATACACAACCGTAGATACAATCAATCACACACACATTCATACACACATTATCTCATCCAGACAAACAAGCGTACAATCTCAACCAACCAAACGCTGAAACCAAGAAATACCGAACAAACGGCCAGTGAGTTACTTTAATTTTCTCCCAAATATTTCTTGATTTCGGCGCACAGTGCGCTAGTCCATGTTTGTCACGATGCCTGGAGGTCACTCCACTGGAAGTTCCAAGGTACGTCACGAGGGAGCTGACAGGGGGACAAAATAATGACTACTCTAAAGTCAATCTACAAAAATGAATGCATCAAAACTCTTACCCGCTATCAGCTGCAACCTTTTACATTTTAATAATTCCTGTCCACATGGTCATATTTTTTTGTACATTTACATTGTTTGGGCACAAATCTTTTGCCTTAGAGATTTTTTTTTTGTTTACTAGTAGTAAACGATTCAGGCAAAACCGGGACTGAGGATAAACCCAAATTTTATATGACGTCGCAGGTTATTAAGTATTTCGATGTCTAAGATTATATCTGTTTTGTAAGATTAACGTTTTTATCCTATATATGGATTTGGTAGGTACGTACATATCCGTCTTTATAGTTTTTAAAACAAAAGATATTAGATCATTTAATATTAGGGAAACAACTTTAAAATCTTAAATTTGAAAAACAAAACATGGGGCTCTAATATTGCAGAAACGCAATGTTATTTAAAGAATAATGTTTGCATCACAACTTCGTTCTACTCCAGTACGTTACATTATTACTTCTTACGTTTCAGTTCTATACAAAGTTTAGATTAATGCTACGTTACCTTAACTGTAGTCGACAATTTTAATTTATTGCTATAACAGGAATCTCGGGTACCATTTCACGTTAAAAAGTCAGTAGATCTGTTAACTTCTAATCCGTGGCGTCATCACTGACAATTTTAAGTCTCATTCGAAAACTACGAGCGGAGGGGTTAGTACGCGAACACCGCCAAACGCGACTTCCAAATTTTATTACTGTGCACAAAAACTCCGTCATTCTAATCAATCTATAGTCCACTATTTATAAATAATCGTTTCGTTATCTTTCGCGGTGATGACTTCCAGCAGTACTCGGAGAACTTTCCGTCGTCATCGAGACATCTGACGCAGAGTCGGACGTCTCACTAAACACAATTCACTAATAGAAGACTGCATATAGGGAAGGATGCACCGAGTGTGGTGGCGGGTGGCGGAGGAGCGTGGCGGGTGAGGGGAGGAGGTGCGGCTCAGTTGTGGACGGGCGCGGAGGGGTGGTGGTGCCGCTCCAGGTCCTCGAGCGAGAGCGCGTTGGGCACGTGCACGGAGGGCAGCTTGCCGGCCGAGGCTCGCGCAAGCAGCTCGGGCGAAAACCAACGCGCCAGCTGGTTGTCCCCACCGCCCGACCCGCCGCCTGCTCCGCCCATCTCTGATTCAATTTAAAGATCATGCTTAACGCCAACCCATATAATAAAACCTTATTAAAATTCTATGTTATTTAAGATAGATATTATTTAGTTTCGAATTTAATAGGGAGGTAAGAATTGACTCCATCTGCATAAATAATATATTTCTTGCATACATAATTGCACAATAGCAGACTTAAAGTCCGTTATTTTTCATTAGTGCAAATACACTAACGACCTGGAAACCGTAAGTTTTACTTACCATTAAGAGTTCTTTGATGCGACTGGATGAGCAATTTGTGCAGGGATGTGCTTCCAGCCATGCCACGAGCCATATTATTCATATTATTGTACTGAAAATACAAAAAAAAACAAGATAAATATACAGATATTAATGCGGTAGGGGGTATGATACCGTCTCAACAGAAACAAAGCCACTACATTCAGTATAGGCCAAACAGAGTAAAATCTGCTTTTTTTCATTAGAAAGTACAAAAGATAAAATAATTTAGTTGGTAGATGTTATTGACTTTATGCAATTATGCACATGCAAAAGAAGATGTAGATGTGTATAACTATATTAAGTGATAGAATATTATTGCTAGTTATATTACAACTTTTTTTAACAATATACATTAACTTATCCAAGTATAGTTATCATTGTTAAAATAATAATATACCTATTGCTTATTAGGTAATATTAAAAAAAAGAACTCTATTATAATTCATTCCTAATTTTTGTGGTATAATATGATCGCAAAACACTAGCTGATTGCAGCTAAAAATTATATCCTTTGAAATAATTTTGAGTGTAAAATTGTTGCACCATTTGAAAATGTATCAAAAATAATGTTGGTATTCCAATTATTAATTACTAGTTTAAAGCATTTTTAGGACTAGATTTACTATTACAAATTTTATTTGTTTGTTTAATGTGTTTTGTAATCAGTATCATACATTAACTCACCGAATTGGGTACTTGTTGTCTCTGCTGTGGATGTGGAAAGGGACGAACTCCGCCGAGCATTTGCTGTAAATGTATATCATTAAATTTTTGTTCATAAGAAAATTCTTTAGATATTACTTAAATATAAAAATAAGAACTAGACGGAAGCCTATATATAATACTAGTTTGTGCCCGCGACTGTGTTCGCGTGGAGTTAGTGGGTTCGATTCCCGGACCGGTAAAAATTTCACAGGGTTTTTCTTAGAAAAAGTAGCCTAAGTTACTCCTTATGTAGATAGCTACCTGGTAGTAAAATATTATCAAAATCGGACCAACCGTTTTGAAGATTACCCAGAACAAACACAGACAGACAGACAGACGAACAAAAAATATTTAAACTGGTTTTTAGGCAGGTACCTATAACCGTGTGAGAATGAAAAAAAACCTATTATTCGGACATTACAAACAGACAACACTTCAATTTCATATATTTGTAAAGATAGGCTTATAAAGACCGTAAAGCAATAAATAATACAATAAAATCAATTTAACGATATTGCATTATGAATAACGGTTGAACTATAAGGATTACGTTTCGTTGGTCAACCGACTTGATTACTTCTACAGCATGCAACTTGAAACTTTAATTAGATATTTGAGAAACCATGATAGCAAAGGTCACTTTTTTATGGTACTAGATATTACCTGTTGCTGATTTATATAATGTTGTTGATACTCTGCAGGAGTAGCGTAGCCCATCGTTGGTGCAGTTCCACTTTGGTTTCCCTACATAAACAAATACATATAAGGTAATGGAAACATTGATATTATAAGTGCGAACAAGTATAAAATTGCGTTATTTTCTTATTTATATGGCTATAATTAAAGAAAATAACTGATGTGTCCCACAGTCAAGAAAATTACAAACATGTGATGACAAGTATACTAAATGACTCATCACCGTATTAACCCAATTCTTACATCTGTCATCACCCTGCACAGTTTTATGTCGTATTATTATTGGCGTCCTGAGCCAATTACGTTAGCCAGGCTTATAGCTTAACGAAAAGTGAAGAAAGGCCATTTTGATTTAAGGTTTAATAAGAATATAAAGGAGCAAAGATAATAATCACAGATTCTTTTGCTAAAATACCTCAGGTAATTTAACAACAGAATTCAGATTCATTTTGTAAAGATATCTTTTCGGAATAGTAAAGCGGAGTTACGTTAGCAAAATAATGTTAAAAAAAAGTGTTAATTAAATATAGCTGAAATCAATAGCGTTGTCAATTCTTGAGCAAAAATTGGTACCTTAACGATGGGCCTGCCCTGCGGCACCTTGAGCGGCTGTGACCACTGTTGCTGCTTCGGACTGGGCGCATCTGATTCCTTCTCCGCGGTCATCTTACGTAATACCTGACAATAACACGTGCACCGCTGTTAGCTTTATACAAATTAGATTTTACAATGAATGCCCACAGCACTCCTTACTGGGTAATATTTATTATTTAATTACTTGTATGAATACAAATGTGTGAAACTTGTCTGTCTTGATTAGTGTGTTGGTCTAGGGCTATTCCACTAGTCCTTACTAGCTGTCCCTCCTGGTGGGGACAAGTGGGATTTTTTTTTCCACTCTTCCCTACCATACCGTCACTGGTTGGGATGAGTGGAATTTCATTTCCACTTATCCCTACTAATAAAATCTTAACGTATTCTTGTACAGTTTCAATCAAAATAACTTTTCATATTCATTAAGAGACACTTGGCGAATTATTGCCTTCACTGCTGCGTTACCTCTTTTACCTGTGGACCAGGTGACAGATGGATGGTCTTATATAAAATCTAACATCATTGAAGATTTTGGCATGGAAAAATTCCAGAATTCTAGAAACGGAACGTCTTCGATCTGTGACACCGCACCAACAATTTCGTTGAAGCGTGGCATTTTAAAATAGACAATAAGAAATTTGCTACACATCTATAATATTTGACGGCTGAGGCGGCTATAGGCTTACCATCTGTTACGTAAGTGGGCCTAAAGTTGTAGCGTGATTGAGCGTTTTTAATACCTCTGTCTACCCCTTTGGAGATAAGATATGAGTGTATGCATTTTTGTTAATGTTAAAATATAAGTTAATGTAACACATTAGACTCACAGAAGTGGGTGTAAAAGAAATAGGTGTCGATTGTTTGGGCGGCTGCATCTCCTGCCGACGGCGGAAGCTCTCCCGCTGCTCTTCTAGCTTCTTCTTAATGATCGCGTTCTGCATAAGGGACTGCGTGTGCGCAGCTATTTCACGCGGGGACGGGGCACGGGAGGACACACCTGCAAGGTTAAGAAGATTAATGAACATAGAAGACATTGTACACGTTATATAACATTGAGGGTCATGTAGATATGATTACAGTGCTAAAGCATTGGTTTGTTTTGAGAAAAAACATTAAACCAGAGAGAGAAGAACATTAAACCATTCTAAACAAAGAGGAGAGTCCAGGTTGTCTTTTTGTTTTTAACTTCATTTATGGACAGATTTTTTCTTTTTATTTGGAGAGGGACTGAAGGGACGACAGGAAATGAAGAAGTCAGTTTATTGCAATTCATGATGTAAGTGCATTGAAATTGATCATACTTTTTTGAAAGTTAATTAATGTCGATAGTGTTTACCGGAGTGGTGATACTTAAACGCTTCTTTAAGATGAGATGATGGAATCCGTCTTCTTTCTCTGAGCCTTTTTCCCAAACTAGGTTGGGGTCGCTTGAAGTCTACTACGATACGACTGAATTTTTTTACTTAGAGCGACTGCCATCAGACCTCCACAACCCAAGGACTAGGCGATATCGAAGTTCTGTAGAAAGACTGTTTTCGAATTTTTTAGGGCTCGCAACTACCCGTAACGATTGCCACAGATTTTTGTATGGCAACCGGGACCGACGGCTCAACGTGCTCTCGGAGGCGCGGACGAACTGACGTGGTTAGGATTGCTTAACTTTGCAATGCCTTAACCTACGTCGGCGGAATTAATTCTAAGATATGTAATGTTAATGCATGTCAGATAAAGCAAATTCACTTATAGCTGGTACACTGAAAACATTTCTATGATAAAAAAAAAATATCCTCAGGCATATTTTAATACTATTAAAATATATATTTTTTTGATATTTAACCTACCTGACTGATGTGCTGCGAGTGAGTTGGGACTAGTAGCCATTATAGGTGATACACAAAATGCTGCATCCGTATAAACAAATATGACATACAGTACACAATATTAAGTTGTTAGTATGATATAATGATATTTTATCTAATAATTCTATACGCTATTAACATATTTGAGATTATATTGAAAAATAACTACAAATTTTCTGTTTCTGTCTGTAGCATCTTGAAGATTTGCTTTAATACAAGCAAATCTTTAACATACCAGTGACACATCACACATTTGTTTTCTAATGGGTAATTTAACAATCAAAAGTAGTTTATTCAATTAAAAGTTAGTTTTTCCTGAGAAATAAATATCTATAATGGATTACAGACATAAATAGTGACAATTAGAAAACTTAAGTCACCCATTACCTTGATGTGGCAGCGGTGACAATCGTATCGGCTGGTGGTGCGGCGGCACGACCAGATGAGCACCCACGCCTGGTACACCTCCGACTCCTACTCCACCGGGTAGCGGGGACTCGCCCATCTGGGGAAGAACATTTTATCAAATAATACAATAAACAAAATTATTAAGTCAACCGGTATAGTTTGAAAAACAGTGAAAGTGCACTTCTATTAAATTTAACGCTTATAATTGCAATGAATGTTGAGTCTTAAATAGGTAGATTTTTATTTGTTTGTAGTGACTTTACAAACTATATTACCACTGGTGGTTAACTGTGTCTTCAGGTGTTACTAATATTGAACAAGCTATCCATAAACATAGTAACAGATGAACAATAATTCTAGCTTCAGTTAGTCCTCTCCTTGTTATATTAAAGGTAAGCAGAACACTGATGCCCTTCTAGATTCAAGGCTTTTTTTTCTCATAAATCAGTAGAAATAGAATTTCCTTTTATAAAGCATATTGTATGGTGTCAAAAACATTTGTTATAAAAAGAAAAAGAATGCAGAAACTGTAGTAATGTTTTTAATTATATACTGCCGCACCTTAGTTGTCATCATCACCTGCCTACCCTTATCCCAATTTTATTTGGGATCGACGCAGTAAGTTCACTCCCTTCCTAGTTATATCCTCACTCACACAGTCGATCCACCTTCTCTTTGGTCTTTCTCTTCTCTTGTGCCCTTCAACAGCTATACTTTCTTCGCCACATTTTCCTCATCCCTCCGCATGACATGTCCATACCAAGATAACCTATATTACTTCTTTACTTCTCATCCAGTGGGGCTACTTTCAGGCTTAGATGTCGTGAGATGTAAATCAAGGATTTTTCGGCCTGAACTTATGAAACATAGTATAACTTTACATAACCATACTTTATATGTAGATAAGGGATTTTTTCGGATTATTTCGTTATTGTCTATATCCAAATGAGAGTTCATAGCGAGCAGATTATTACATTCATGTTTGCCATAGAACCGTCAACGTTTATCTATATTCCGAAAGTCTATTAAATAATAATAAATAAAAAAAAAGATTCATATCAAATGAAATTATCTAAATTATCGTTAACAAATAATAGTAAATTGTTAACAAAAAAAATTGTAAGCGATAACCCAGTGGATCAGGTGGTATCGTTTACAATACATACACAACTAAATATAGTAAATCTGTCATACCTGTCTCTTGTGTTGATGTAATCGTAGGATAGTCAGAAGAACTTCACGGTGGCGACTCTGAAGGCCAGGATTATTCAGCTGCTGCATTAAATGCTGTACTGTGATTTCTCCAGTTTTCAGCCCTGAAGATGTATATTCATTCATTATTATTATTAATAATATGATCACAATCATTCAAGCTTGACACGGTACCTAATTGCTAAGTTGAATATACTCGTGCCTTGACTTTATTTACTACTACTTAGTTTAAAGTTAAAGGGTTTTGTTTTGCATAAGTTTCAGATGAAGTCACAAAGCTTCGTCATACTTAGGTATTCTCAAATCATCGACTCACCATATGTGATGGAATATTAAAAAAAAAAAAACTTGAAAATATTATTAAATATACCACAACATTGTTTCTATTTTTTTATCATTGGTTATCATGGTTTTCACATAGAGACAGACCAGCTTCGACGGAACTGCATCATTTTATTAATTGCCCTGTATACCTGTATATAATATTTAGATTCCGTTTATTCATAAAACTCGTGGAAAAAGTTTCGTAACGAAGTCGCAATACTTATATAACAAAACAGAGACTATTGTCATATCTTTTCCTTCCCATCCCTTTAGAAATTCGGGCACGTGAAAGTCGATACATTCATATAACATATATCATTATTTTTTAAATTATAAAACATGTTATATATTCAGCAATAAACAAACTAGTTAATCTAAAAAGCAGCGTTACATATTTATAATCAATAATTAGGAGTGTCGCACCTCGCACGATGGCCTGCGCCTCGGGCCGCTGCAGCAGGTCCCGCTCGGCCGCCGCCAGGCCGCTCACTTCGCCTTGCGCCTGCTGCTGCTGCTGCTGCTGCACCAGACATATCATATATGTTCAGTTAAATAATGTTTTAGTACTTTATTTTTATTTTTGCATGTCACAAAATCATAATTTTCGCAATCTAATTAACTTTTCCAAAGAATTGTTTGTTTGCAATTTGTAGACGTCTATTTTACAACAATTGAGATTTTTTTCGTTCAATTTTTTAAGAAATAATGTGTTGTCTTGAAATAATGTATTTTTACGGGTTATTTTCATGAAATCAACCGATTAAGTTTGATGAAATATTTTTTGCATTACATTCACCTGCACTTGCAGGAGCTTGTATAGGAGCTCCTGAGGTATGTGCGGCTGCTGCTGTTGCTGCTGCTGTTGTTGTTGTTGTTGTTGTTGTTGTTGTTGCTGCTGCTGCTGTTGCTGTTGCTGCGCTTTCTGTTGCTGCTCCACACTTTTATTCAACATCTGCAAACAATTATTTTTATTGTAAATAAATACTTCAACACAACTTATTTAAAAATTTTAAAACCAGTATGCTAAAAAAATAAGTTTAATAATTATGGGTTGCTTAGTCAAATTTCTCATCAGAAGTTGATATTTTTAAAGAAATTCTCATAGAACCGAAATTATATCGTGCCTTTATTCTAACGTCAATCAAAAAGAAAGAAACTGATGAAAAGATGAAACAATATAAGATAGTGTGGTTCAGTACCTGCAACAAACTCATGGGCTGCGGCTGCGGCGGGGCGTGGCGCGGCGCGGGCTCTGGTGCCGCCGCCACGGCGTGTCCGCCCGACACTTGCGCCAACTGAACACACATACATATTTATTCTAATATTCAGTTATGCCGCGAAATCTACAAATATTCACATCTGGTTCATTATAGATTGAATATTATGTATTCTTCTCAACGAAATAGTGGGTTTTAAAAGTCTTGGTTTTAGCTGTTGAAGCTATAAGGTGTGTAATCAATAAATCAGGCTAAAGGATCACATTCTTGACCTTAAGGTGACAAACAGTCACAATGCCCACGGTAACTTGCATTAATCAGTGTTTATTTATCGTATTGCTTACTTTGTAAAAAGATTTTTTTAAACCTTGACGCGTATGGTACCATTAGATTACAAAACAGTGTATTACGATATGGGTCATATTACTAAAAAAAGCCGGACAAGTGCCGGTTCCGTACACATTTGTAGGTACATTATTATAAATAGTTCAGGAATGGAATTTCGCAGTTTTTGTCGAGCTTTGCCCGGAATTCAGTTTCCAAAACCTATAATTACTTATATTCTATATATAAGAGAAATTGTACCTCGATGATTAATTACGTACTTTAAATGAGGACGAAGTTTTTTATGATTTATTTACAAATGTATAGTTTTCTAATTTTTCCCTGTAGTTGTAGTATAAGACGATGTTACTTGCCAAATTTCAGAGTTATAGGTCAACCCTTTGAAATTTGACTCCCTTGTGTGTCGAAATATGCGTTTTTTGCGATATATGTATATAAACGGCTGTATCTTTTTTTCACGTTTAGCTAGAAGTTTGATTTTTATTTTGTAGTGTGTGATTTAGTTTGTAGACAAAAACAACACACGCGCAAACAGATACAAAATTATACATTGCTTACAGTCTAGTAGCACGTGAGCGATATGTATTACGCTTTTTGCGAGAGCCGCGTGATAGTAGTCGCTAGTAATTAGTGGTAAACCATGTCGATATTAAGTATGTATACTAATAATAATTATCAGTAATATTAGAATTAAAATATCTTTGTTTTTATTAATTGTTGTTATCCATTTAGATTCCGAGTGCAGTTTGTCTAAAATCTTGTTTAAGATTAGCCATTCGGATTAAAAAAAAATGGAAACGCATGTTAATTTATACATATTATTTTAGGTACAATAAAAACAATTAAGTTATTGTTTGGTATGAAAATACTCTTGTATTTACTTATTAGTTTAAATATTTGCTAACATACATATATGAAAGACGTTTATCGTGGAAATCATATATTTAGGAAGTCTACATTATTCCCATTCCCCTCCCGAAACTATGTGAAACTTGCAAAACCTAAATGAACAAATTTACAGTAATTTATCGATATCGACTTTTTCGCTTAAGGAAAGGACGTTTTGGCCTACAATATCACGCTGGCCAGACAGGTTGGTACAGGATTTGTGTCAAGTTTTCCTTCTCTGTGCAATCCTGTTGTCCTGCATAGTTTGCTCCTTTAGTCGGTTCTTACCACACCCACGGGATAAATAGAGGTAGTGACACTCTGTATTCTTAATCCGTCGCCACACGGACAGATATATACTGGAAAGTTTCATTAGATATATCTACATCTGAGATGATATTTTATATATGAGGTAGTTATACATACAAGACGTTTGAAGGCGGTGAGATCATGATCAGGTACGTTGTGATGAGGGGGCGCGTGCGAGTGTTGAGGCCGGAGCCGCGCTTCCAGCTCCTCCAGACTGTGGACCTTTCCACCACCCACGTGGTTCACTTCTGGATATTAAACAATTGTATTACAGTCCTGTTTATAAAATATATGTAATAAATAAAGCAAGAAAAGTTTGTTTGTTTCTTTTATATCAAGAATTGCAATTGAATATCAATGAATATATACATATAATAATAAACATATACATAATCCCCACATATTTATCGATTATGTTTCTGTAAGACATAATCGATAAATATTTACCAATATTTGGAGCTTAAAGGCGCGGGGCGTGTATAAGTAATATTGTTCAGTAAAAATAATATGTATTTCATTGGATATCTATTTCAAAATCAAACATCAAAATCATTTATTATTTGCATAAAACAGGTATAAAGGTGGTAGAAGATACATCATATAATACATGGGTACGCTGTAATATAACCTCTTAAAGGTGTGCAAATATTTAGACATAGATATTTAAAAGAACATTACAAATACAATTTGAAGAATATATTCATATCATCATAAGAATATATTCATATATTTCTATGGATTTTCTAGCTTTTACTTTGCTCTCAACTACGTTTTATTGTGATAAACATTTTTTGTAGCCTTCGAGGATGTGCTTGTTTTGCCTGGAAGAAAATCTGTGTCGTCGGATAAGTCTTATGTAATTTGGCAACATGTATTGAAAACTTAAGAAAAACCGATGAATGCTTTGCATGAAACAAGAATAAACAATATTTTGCCTGAAATATGAAATAACATGAAAGTGAATGACGAATGAGAATGTGTGTGTTCAATATCTCTTCACCAACTAGTTTTATTTTTTTGTTTTATTAATTTTTCATTGACAATGCAACCTCCTTTCTGATGAGAGCCCTATGTCCAGATTTTGGATTATTAAAGGCTGTTAATAATGATGATGATGAATGCAATATGTTGTTGCGGCGACTGTGTGTTCGTCGATAATTTAAATGTATTTAAAAAATTAAACAGCTGATTTTTAATAATTGCTAACAAATTTCATGTAAAAATATTGCATTTAAAAAAAATGATATTAATAATATTCAATACGCCTCTGTGTACCCCCTGGGGGACAAAGGTGTGAGTGTATATATATATATATATATATATTTACCTGGTCTATTATCGTGACTATTAGCATTAGCTCTCAATAACAAGTCAAACAGCGAGGAAGGGTGCGGAGTGAACGAGGGCCGCGCTGCCGGCGATATCGGCGCAAACACGTGAGACTCGCCTCCGCCCACGCCTACACCTACGCCCACTCCCGCGCCTGGACTAGGTTCCGAACGACTGTTATCTAAGTCTGTGGAAAATGGTAGAAACGTTAACAAAACAGTTTAATATTCTATTGTAAGTTGTTCAAGACCAGTCAGTCATTTACACGTTGCTAACTCTATTAAGAAACCTTAACTTTTAACAGACGAGAAGTATCTTCACCCCACATAGATTATAATTTTCTGTAACTCATGGAAGTGCTGTACGGGCTTGCATGTATAATTACTAGAGATACCACGAATTTCCGGAAACTATTCGGCCATAATTTTCATTATTCGGCATTCCGCCGAATATTTCGAAGTATTTTTTTTAACTATTTTTTATTTTATCACGAAACAAGAATGCTTAATATTATTACAAAGATTTTTATTTTACCAATAACTTTTCATACTTAAAACAGCAGCATTCATTGATGGAAACAATAGGAAATATAGAACATAGTAGGATGGTTATAAATCGTTCGGAGTCGGTCGGAATCATACTATCTTTATATCAATTATTGACAATATAAAACTAAACGTCCGAACAAAAAACCTTTTGCAATATTCTTGATTGATAACTTTACATCTTGACAATAACTCATCGTCATCATCAACAGCAACAGCCTTTAATAGTCAACTGCTGGAAATAGGTCTCTTCTTAGAAAAGAGCACTTGCAAAACCTAAATGAACAAATTTACAGTAACTTTATCGATATCGACTTTTTCGCTTAAGGAAAGGACGTTTTGGCCTACAATATCACGCTGGCCAGGGTTGGTATAGGGTTTGTTTCAAATTTTCCTTCTCTTTGCAGTGCTATTGTCCTTCGTAGTTTGCTCCCTTAGTCGGCTCTTACTACTGACTACGGCTTCTCATCTGTGGGTGTCCCACGGGATGAATAAGGGTGGTGAGACGCCGTATTCTTAATCAAGAACCATACTCCTCAAAAATTATATTTCGGAAAATAGCCGCTCACTGTATATACTGCTTTAACAAATTCTAACCTAAGGATATTGTTTTGCGTTTGCTGATTCAGGTTTAGGACCATTTTTAGGACCATTTTACTGATTCAGGATTAAACCCGCGAAATTTACTAAGTTTTGTCGAATCATTTCGGTCTTCAATCACAATTCGGCCAAATCACTATTCTTGGCATCTCTAATAATTACGATTTCTAACGTAAGTATATCTGATTACAAAAATAAATTAACCTTGTTTTTAACATTGGGTCATTAGGCCTATTCTGGTGATCCTTTCAGAGATTAAAAGTTACATTATGTGTAGTATGATTGTTACTTACCATCAACCATATTGTGCAGCAGTCGTTCGTAATGTTTAGCGTCGTTGGTAGGACTCTCTCTCCGGAACCAGCGGCTGAACCTGCTTCCACCTTCTGACTCACCCCCACCGTTCTAGCAATACATGCAAACATATTTAGTATACAGGCCCATCTGCGAGACATTACATTTACAAATAATATCATAGTATACTTTATTTCAACTTTTACTTTTCAGATATTTCATAAAAGAGGCAGGTTGTGTATTGCGAATGTAAGCTCAGAAAATCGAAGTGGAAGGTTTTTTTTCATCAGTTGAATTCTTCAAATTACTTTACCGAGTCTCTGGAGCTGGCCACTTACAATAATAGAATGAAAAAAACAATTATGGAATTCAAAAATGGAACTCTTTGCGATCATGTTACTTTTTCATTTGCGAGACTGTCATGTTTTGTCATTGTGACGTCCTTTCGAAAATTGTATGTCGCTATCAAAATGAATTTAACCCGTGAACATTTCCATTTAATGATTTTTTATGATTTTCGTTGTAGCTTAAGGCAACAAGTGAGTTGCCAGAGACGTTCAATTGGTTTTTGGTGATGAAGCACCATGTCGCAGCTCTGTGTATTCGTGGTTTGTACAATTTAGATGTGATCATCCGGGGTACGTGCCGGCGACTGCGATTACAGCCTCTAATATTAACACCGTACAACAACTTGCCAGCAAATTCCTGCTTTGTTAGGCACTGGAATGAGCCTAGTGCACAACATTTTACATGCGATTCTGAAGGTTCGAAAGCTTTGCACTCGATGGATACCCCATGACATGGATAACGGAGGACCAGAAACGACTGCGAGTCCAGTGGTGTCGTAAAATGATTATGAAGTTTAAGGGAGGACAGTCCTTGGCTGTCTATATCGTGACAGGTGACGAAACCTGGGTGTACTGCTTTGAACCGGCAGGAAAAGCCAGTCGACAGAGTGGATCCTTCCTTTTGAAGATTTGCCGACGAAAGTTAAGAAAAGTCGAAGTATTGGTAAAAAAATGGTTGCTTCCTTTTTCGACAAATCAATTAGACATTTATATTATAGTAGCGATCCGCAATGGCTACGCTCCGGTGTAATGTAGATACTACTAATGTGGTGTCAGTGTGGAGTAATTAATTATACTATTATTATGCTATACTACAGCACATCTTTCAATGCAAATTTTCCCGGCCCGCTCCGATCCTGCCGGCCACTGCCACCCGGCAGACAGTCGTAGGGCATTTGAAACCTTTAATATCTTCTAAAATATTAATTTTAATGATATGATGTTCAGAGTTATTTAATCTACATTAAATGAACAACGTATCTAAAGTATATATAGGATAAGGAATAATAATGTGTTCTCCATATTACCGCATAAAACGGCCGCTTTTAAAGGTAGTTGCCGCTATGCGGCCTCATAGATATGGAACAATTTACCGCCGCTTATAAGATCATCAAATACGATTGGCTCTTTTAAATTTAAATTGCGACAGTATCTCATAGAGGCACAGCGGTAACTGGATATGGCCAGTGTGAACATTTCCCTTATATAACGTGAAGCAGTGCATAGCGCATAGGTCTCGGAGGACGGTACGTCGTCATTCCAGAGAAAATGCTCTTTTATGCACAAAGACATATTTTTTGTAAACATTTCAACGAAGAGTACTTACAGTAAGAACGTCGGGTATCGAATCAAACTTGAGGAACTCGTCCAAATTGAATTCAGGCTGTTCGTTGTTTTGCGTCACCTCCTCGCCCTTCGACTCCACGCCGGAATCTTTATCCTGAACAAACCATATGAAATTACACATGAATCAAAGATTTAAGTACACAAGGAAGTATATCCCGATACCCGTTCGAATAACATGTTATGAGAGTATTAAGTTTACTTTGGTAAGGCAATTGTGTGTTTCACATGATTGTAAAAAAAAAGAGCTTTAGAGTAGCCGCATAAAATCTGACGTATGTCGGCCAGCACCGAGCTCGCTTATTGATCAAATCAGTTGCCTATTTCACACTTCCGTCCTACTTCCTCCTACTGCAGAAAAGCGAGAAGAAAAACTACTAGAGGGAAAAGTGAATCAAATACTGAAACTCACATTGCTAGAATTGGAGTCGTTGTTGTTCTGTGTGACGGGCGAGGACGTTTCGCGCCATCTTTCACCCGCCGGCGACCGCGATCCGCCATTGTTCCATTTCTACACAGAAATATATACACATTAAGTTAAATTAAATAGGCACGACTGGTTGTATCCAGATATTTGCAGTTACTTTAATATAATAACAACAATTATACATACTTCAGTCTCTTTATTGTTCGCATTGCCATTCTTCTTGGTGGGCTCGTCAAAACCGCGCAGCTCGATAGTCTCCAACTGAGATGTCGGCCCTCCACTAAACCTGTAATAGCAAAGGTCAAATTCTAGTAAATACTTTTACAAATTTTATTATTAGTAGCATGATAAAGTCCTAATTATTATCCTTGTATATTTTAATTACACGATTATGCATTAACTTTCAGTATACATTTTACATTTAATTTCATTTATTCTTTACTATCTGACCCGCAAAACTTCGTCTGCGTCTGCAACATTTTTTATTGATGCTCCGCTCCTATTGGTCGTAGTGTAATGTTATTTATTTAGTCTTCCTCGAGAAATGGGCTATCCATTCAACACAAAGTTAATTAGTTTTAGTTTAGTTAGTTTTTAAAAAGACAACTCCCGAATTAGGAACATATCCTGTGTCGCGGGGGACTTTACAAACATACATGAAACGGGCACAAAGAACACCCAGACTCAAAACAACAATTTGTGATCACACAAAGTGTCGTCCCATGTGGGGTTTGAACCCACAACACTCGGCGTAGTAGGAAGTGGCGTGGTGACCGCTTAAACCACTACGCCATCCGTGCAGTCGAAAGTATTTTTCAATTCATACTAGTGGTTCCTGAGATTAGAACGTTCAACGTTTATAATATTAGTTTAAATTGTACACAATAATTGATCTAGATACAAAAACAAGGAAATGGGATTTGCGTAGGCGAGCTTAACAAAAATTTAAGTTTTACCATTCGGGTTCATCTTCCTTCTCAAGGCGTCGTTGAGAGAAGCGACCACCAGATCTACGGTTGTCCTCTCTGAAATAAAACAGTACTTACATTTTATAAATATACAATTAATAAATATAAAGTAATTAATGATATCATCTAGATATTAGTGTTTATTAAAAATATATAAACGTTGAAGTCTTAATGATTACCTATCTCGCATCTTCTCGTGGATGAATCGGTCATCCCGCTCCCTCTTGATGTCAGAGGAGTAGGAGTCTCGGCCGAATGAGCGCCGGTCGAACCTGCAATTAAAACGTAGTGTTTTCTAAAAAAAACAGTAATGGTTTCGCATCATTGTTAAGGTCGGTGTTTTTTGACAAAAGTGACTTTATTCTGTTGATGCCTGTGTGTAATTATATATCACTAGCCCACCCCTTTTCTACAACAGGATTACTTATTAAACTTCTACCATATGATTGCTTTTAACTTTAAAAGCTTATCTGATAGTCAGCGCTTGCCATAGCTTTCTTAAGATGTGCCAGTTAAAATCCAAATAATAGTAGACATTAAGGATTGCGTAAAACTTTTCTTTATGTGTTAGGTACCTGTCGTTGTTGTTAGTTCGTCGTTCGTTCGCATGTTCACGCTCCCGCTCACGGGGTGGTCGGTAGGGTTCCGAGCCTCGATACTCGCCTTCCTCCCACGTGTTATTCGGAGTGTCGCGCACCATGATACGGCCCGACCCGATACGACGACCTCCTGTAATATAGTGAATATATTGTATTCTCCATTAAAATATATCGATTTTTAATATCTTACTTTGAACGATTTCTTTCGGTAGGGATAAATATGTAGGCAACAGCATACAACGAACGCCAATACTAAAAGCGTGCATCACCTGTGTCTGCCATTATGTTATAGGCCAATAAATTATGTGCAGTATATTAAGACTAATACTACAAATTATACCCTTTAAATAAATGTAAGGATAGCTCGAGAATGGCCATTATATCCATCAAAAAGTAGTTGATGTTTAAACCTTGATTTGTGTAGCGTAAGCGACAATGCAATTCAAGTTTTGTGCGACTCTCCTTACTAGTATTGAAAAATGTGAGGTACGGGTTGGTACATCTAATTACCTTGTTCAGCCTTAGGCGGGTGGGCAGGGTGTACCGGCGCAGGCTGCGGAGCGGGCGGCGCCAGCGGCGACTCAGGGCGAGTGCGGGCGAGGTGCGGCGGCGGGGCGGGCTGCGGCGCGGCCGCAGGCGCCCCACAGCCGGACGTGAAAGACCTGCGCTGCGGCGACAGCACGATGCCGCCACCGCTCGGCTCGCTCTCCTTGCGCACACGCTCGCGGGGATCGGCGGAGCGACGCTCGCGATCGCGGTCGCGACCGTATACACCCTAGGGTGTAAAAATTAATTCATTCCACGAATATTTGCAAAAAGTAGAAACGGTAAAACTTAACGATGCCTATGTTTTTACACTTTACCTTGTGGTTTTCAGACGATGCATCTCCTCTCGCACCTCGATCGTCTTCGTTGGGCGAATCAGAACGTCTTTTAAGAACCCTGAAATTATAAGATTTAAAAAATAGTTAACTTCTAAAAAGGATTGTATTTTTAGAAGTTAATTATTTGACCTCTTATTATATCAATAAATGAAGTTGTGCGGTAACAAAAAACAACCAAATTGAAACCTCTTTTTTTCTTTCTACTACTTCTACTTTTACAAATACTAAACTTGTACAAATACATAAAATTAGCAAAACTTGTACAATTCACACTTACAGCGCAAGCGCCTCACAGCCAGCAAACGCGTTTTCAAGATTCCGTTTGACCAGCGGTGAATTGCGCAGACGCATCAGCTCATCCCGCGTATACGTGAGCGGTTTGCGCGCAGGTCCCACGGCCAATACTGCTGGGTCTCCGCCTCCGCCACCGCTCGACACGCCGTTGTCATCACCTAAAAAAACACAATTTTTATTAGATATTTGAAATATAAATAATTAAAACCTGTAATCAGTGAGCAACTTCGTCGGCGTCTCTCCAAAGGAATACATTTTCCCCGTATTTGCAACATTTTTCATTTATGCACGGTTCCTATTGGTTATAGCGTGTTGTTATATAGCCTTTTTTATAACTATTTATTGAGGAGGGTACGATACAGGCTATAGAACACTCAAATATATTTTTTATTCGAACTGGTAGTTCCTGAGATACGAAACAAATAGGCTTCATCTTTATAATATTAATATAGATTACGGAAATTGATTTTTAACTTTTTTTTATGTAGCTGGGCATCTTTTTCTAAGCTAGTCTCTAAATAAATTTCTGATGGCACCCATAAATGTTTGATAACATACATGATGTCGATGTTTGAGATGAAGGAACATTTTGAATGGGAAATAAATCTGATTTTATTTCCCATACAAAATGACCCTTTAGAATCGGGGAATAAGGCTCCGATAACTTCATTGGCTCGGTGTAACGCAATGAAAAAACTGCTTAACACCGGCCTTCCGCATGATGATTAAACATAATATACCGATATAGGATTGTTCTAATTTGTAAGGATAAAATGGGTTTTATTTACTGGACTTATTATTATTCTTATTAGACTTATTATTATTTGTCCGTTCATTATCGGGATAAAGTTAGAGTGTAGGATTTTTCTAATTTGTAAGGATAAAATGGGTTATCCCGATAATGAACGGACAAGAAAAAGCATGCAAAATAATAGAAAAAATAATAATAATGTGATAATGCCGGGTATTCAAGTGACTTACACTACGAAGAATAGAAAGAAAATGTTATACGATACAGAAACACACAAAAATCCAAGACAACACAATAGTCCACACAAAAGTTCCTGAGCCAGCTAGCAGGGTTCATGTCTAATGGGCGCTTCGAGAGAAGGAAGGAATACTTCATTTTAAGTAGTACCCTACCCTGCATCTACATGTACGAAGGAGTGTAGTCCTCATCTAAAAAACGAATTAATTCAATCAATCCGAATGATATTGCTGCCCATAAAATATCTTAAAGTACCCACATTTTTTCACATCTATAATACATAGTTTTAAGGAGAAATTTAAGTTAATTTTAGGGAGAAAAAGATACGTTAAGTTATTACATTTCTAGAAATATCAACTGAATTAATGATTATGTTGTTTGGTAAACGGTCAGAATCGAGAAGTAGTCGACTGACCTAAAATGTGTAATCAGACACGCAACGTTTAAAAAATACAATGTAATGCAGGTTTGGTATAGTGCCAGCCCATCCGTGTTTACCTGATAGGCGACCGGCGCTCAACCACTACCTAAATAGGCGACAGTCTATATTTAGCACAAGTGTCTTACACCGACAAATTTCACTACATGGAAATTTCTTGTGCAATTATCTAATGGATGCAAGTAGGGGGAAGTCTGTCAAAGATCATAGTACGATGACACTCCAGTAAATAAATTGTCACGTAAATCCGGCTCAAACTCAATCGGCAGCAGCAAGCAGCAGCTTCTTTGATTAAATGTCTGTATTGATTAAAGTTTACTTTTACATACTTCAAACTGGACAAAATATGATTACTAATTAAGTGTTACATAATTGAGAAAATCTAATTACTCGCTATCATTAAAAATATAATATTTTAAAGTTATATTACCAAAAGATTTCATTTTTAATTTTTTTTAAATAATACTGTTCGATTAATTCAGAGTCAACCAACTAAGTCGACTTGGTTGAATGTTGATAAATTTTACTGTTATTATTTTAAAGAGAGAATTATCTTAAACCAACAAAAGTTTTAGTGAACAGAAATCGAGAAAATAAAATTTAACGCTAAAACATTAGCATCTCCCGCATGAGTTTCATTATGTCACTAAATTATAAACTGACAGTGCTTCATGGTAAATTTACAACTCTCAGCTTGGTAAATCGGTTCATAGCATAAGGAATCTGGTTGGTGTTTGAAGATGATAATAAATTACTTTTAACGCTACCTTCTACCTAATTTTTTTAAATTCATTAGGTTTTCACTTTAAAAAAGGCTTTTGAATTAAGTATTTAGTTGAAACCTAACATAATGACTTTTACGTAAGGGAATTCCTATGATATAACTATTACATGATCGCGTTTATTCCGGTACTTTTACATATATATATATATATATATATGTATATCAACGTTACATAAATTTCTAGTTAGTGGTGACATAGTAACATAGCGATGGCAATAGAGGAGTCACACCATTCAAGTTACTAAGTGTTTACTAGCGATCTTCACCTATGCTTGTTTACCAAAATGTAAATCCATACTTGTATTAAAAATGTGAAAGTGAGTTTGTTTGTTTGTTATGCTTTCACGCCTAAACCACTAAACAGATTTTGAAAATTCTTTTACCAATGGAAAGCTACATTATCAGCGAGTAATATCATACACGCTGGCGGAGCCGCATATAAAAGCTAGTAAAAGATAATGGGTATTAAATTGACGTTACGAAAAGCAGTCATATTTTATAAAATACGCACAGAAATTATAATGTACAGTATTTTATAATAGCTGTAAGTCTTGTTTATTTCAGCATAAGTTCTGTTAATTCTACTAAAAAAAAATAAGTCTAACGAAGTACCGCCCACTCAACACTTGACCAGTAAGATTATATATATTTGTAGGTATACTGCATCATTATCTGAATAATGAACTGATTTTCTTCAATAACATTTGGAATTTTAGTAGTATTAACAATATTAACAGTAACCTCGGCAAACGCTTAACGATAACGATGTATTTTTCTCGGCGTCATATAAGAATACAAGAATCGCGGGACGATAATCGTCCCGCGATTGGTGTTAGTAGTGGATAGCTAAATGCTTGCGATTGCATTAGGAACAAAGTTCTCTAAAAATGCCACGTATAGTTCACGAGTAAGTCCCGCCCTCAGAGTTGACCTGTGGATGTTATTAGGATGTTCAATGCACTATGTGCCAATTATATTTCTACAACTTTTTCACTGCAAGAAAATACGTAAGTACGTAATACTACTTACGCCAAGACACACGCTTAACTCTCTTCGTAGGCGGGCCAGCATGAATTTTCGGCGGCAGTTGACTTGGTATTTTCCTCATTGCACTCTGATACTTAAGCAGAAACGTGTGCACCGCGCACTTGGCCGGGGAGATAAACTTGTCGGTGGTGAGACCTGCCGATACAACGGCGGCTGCAGAGTTCTTGCGGGCGCGTCTCTTAGCAGCTCTGCTACCTGCCCGACGTCTTCTACGACGGCTTTTCTTAACAACTTCGCCGATCGGCGGCATGGTTTCCTTACTGACCATATCAACTGCACGAGTGACGCGTCAACAAAATGGCGTCTAAACTATTTTATACCTAACTAGTTATAACTAATTTAAACTAAATGATAAAATAAATGTAAATAACGATTGTAAATATATTATATAAAACACAAAGAATTTAACACTTAGTATACATAAACTTAGAAGTTTGTCAAAGAGACGGTTGCAACACGCGACGTTGTCGACTTCACGATGTATTGCCTACAGTGCTAAAAGGTCTCGTCGTAACAAAAAAAGCAAAAAATACTGGGAAGCTAAAATTCTCGCTAATTACCGCGGACTACACACAAGCGTATGAACTCGTCTCAACGACTGATTCGACCTCAAGAACGTCGGGCGTTTCTAGGCGAAAGTACCCTCAAGATTTTCGGTAAAATGGAGTCGAATTTTCCGTATGTAAAAGTAATGTAAAGTTACCCTACAAAATATTTATACAAGTGTTCTAGAATTTTATTCATCTCACGTTAATAATACATTTAAGTTTAAACGGAAAAGATCATAGGCCAATCAGTTATGACAAAATATTACACTTCTATTTGAAGTTGCCACTAATAACGATCCACTATTCCGGATCTGCCAATTTAAAAAGTTTTAAGCCTTATTAGTTTATACACAATCCTTTGAAAAGATGTATATTATGTAGAAATCCCAAAAGGCTTTCGGCCTATATTTCTTCAATCTAAATGTATGTATACTTAGAGTGACTAATAGATATAAAGGACCATGGTACAGGCTTGTCACCCATCCCTGCTCTTAATTGTGTCTTACAGATACCAAAATTAGTGAAACTAATTATTATTAAATGTAACGAAATGAAACTAAAATGTAACGAACGTATCATCAATAACAATGAACAGCTGTATGAATTAAGTCGCATCAGTGCAAGCGTGAAAACATCCTGCAGAGAGACTGCAATGCGGCTTACACCCACCCCGGTCACGGCAACAAATTTTATCTTTCAATTGATCTATATAACATGGCTTATTTGCATCATAATTCAATTTTAATGGGTATTAATGACTACGGATAAAAAGTAGTCATAAACCGCATGATTTCGCTATCGAACTGAATGAGGTCTCTTCAGAAATTAAAGTGTCAGTTTGTTTGATTTAACGAATTAAACGGTTTCCGGATCAAATTGACCAAATTTCATTATTCTCGTATTTTATCCTTTATTAATTCAATTCTGTTATAATTGTTGTTAAGCAATGCCATGCAATATCGCATTCGTAGACCTGATTTTTCCACACATGCAAAATACGATGACGAGTGTGCTCATACATACGGTATATACACATTAACACATTGATGAACGTACTCGTATGTATGTGAAAAATCCTTAGTGAAATACTATATTCTTACTAATCTGTAGCTGTTCTAATAATTATGTTCTTACGTTTACGTTTTATTCGATTATCATAAAAGTTTGCATAAACGTTGTCAAGGATACAGAGGGTCTAGTGTAAGTTCATTTCACATCAACTCGATCGTTACAATGACCGCTTAGCGATTGACCCACACTAAAATCTTCACCAATCGCAACGCCGAACGCGCTCGCCCTTGAGGGCGAGTTGATGTAAAATAAACTCGCACTAGGGCCTCAGAGCAGGACAT